TACATCTTCTTTCTTGACCTGTTCCATCACACCTGCCTGTATCAGAAGGCAGAAGAATCCTAAAAATATATGCAGTTGAAACTTTTGTATACCGGAGTCTTAAAATCACGGGCAATTTTTGTCATCTGCACAAACCTTGAACACCTTTGTACTATAAGCAATATTTAGACTTAGCTTCCTCATCTTTACAAGCTTGCCACCATGTGGTGAAAATACAGAACTGCATGTTCAGCCTAAAATTTAGCAAAGACCAGATACTTTTATGTTTCACTAACAAGTCGGTGTTGATAATAATATAGTAATTCAGTATAATTAACCAGGTCTTTAATACACTAGATAACAAAAGTCACTTCTTGGTATTATTTGGTTTAGAAACTATCGAATTTAAAAATTCTATTTAGAAATTATGTAGACTTTATAGATTTCTTTCTAGTTTGGGCCTTATTCCTCATTGGAGTCCAAGTTTATTCTAATTGCATTTATTTGATTGCACTCAGCAAGCACTTATTTTTACTGCTGAGTCTTGATGCCTTCGAATCTTGTAAGGGGTCTTGTAAACTTTTACCAGTGTACATATTAACTTCCTTGGGTTTTCTTAGCAGTACCTGCAAGTGGGTACCTGAAACAGGAATCTTTGCCCTCACAGTCTAAAACCAGAAGTGTGTGGTCCAAATGCCAGCTGCCTTGGCTTCATCTGAAGGTTCTGAGAAGCATCTGTTCTGTCCCTTCTCTGGTGGCGATATCCTCAAACTCCCCATGGCATCTGGTTGGCAGTGCCAGCACTTTAGTGTCTGTGTCCAGACTTCTCGTAAAGTCACCATCACAGTGCACTGAAGCCCACTCTAGTGGCCTCACCCTGATCATTATACCTGCAGTAGCACTATTTCCTCATTCTCCAGTCTTCAGAACTAAGTTTTTTCAGTCTGTGAAACCAAGGGGGACACAGTTCAGTCTCTAACAGCCACCTGTCTCATGATACCCTCCAGACCTGGAAGTGCTACAGCTAACAGGAGCACCTAACAGGAACCCTTGACCTCGACTTGGGGGATCAGAGAGGGCTCTCTGGAGATCTGAGGTTGGCGGGTGAAATAGGAGTTAGCCAAGGATAGGGATTGGTAGGTGAGCCTTACCCACAGCAGCACCACCCCCAAGGAGGAAATGGGTGCTTGGCAGACAAAATAAATCACAAGGTTAGTGCCGTGACACAGTAGGCTAAACCTCTGCCTGCAACACTGTCCTCCCATTTGGTGGCTGGTTCGTGTCCCAGCTGCTCCACTTCCTGTCCAGCTCTCAGCTTATGGCCTGGGAAAGAAGTAGATGATAATCCAAGTCATTGGGTGCCTGCAACCACAAGGAAGACCTGGAGGAAGCTCCTGGTTCCTGGTTTTGAATTGGCCCGGCTCTGCCTCTGTCTCTCTGTCTTTCCCTCTCTCTGTAACTCTGCCTTTCAAATAAAAATAAAATAAATATTTAAACAAATAAATCTCAGTGTTACAATGTTTGTGAGCCTCCAAGGCTCAATCGTATTCTAATAAAATATTATTGCTTAATATTTGATGAAACAGAGAGGACATGATTAGTGATAAAAAAGACAAAATGACCCACTGGGTGGAGGAAAAGTTACATATGGAAGATGAAAAAGAGAATAAACTATTTGTAAAATTAGAACAGAATAGGATGGGGTAAAAGGTTGGAGGCAAGGGAGAGTAGGGAAAGAAGAGGTTGGGCTAGGTAAAGACTTAAAAGATAATTCAATCCAAAGCCACTTTGATCTCCATTGTCTAAACTTGAAGTCAGACTGGATTTTGTTTCTAAACCACCTGTGCTGGCGAGGCTATTTCTGGACAAGTCTGTGGTGTGTGGCCACCCACTGGACGCATCATGAAGTTGCACGTCGTTTTAGAGATTGCAAAGAGCCTTTGTTAGAGCTCCTTCCCTCCCTCAGGCGAGGATATTTGGGTTATAGCTGTGGTCTCTAGAATGGCATCCTGTTCTGCAGAGGCAGCTGGTGCAGTTGCATGTGCTGCACCTTCCTGGGGTTTCAGAGAATAAAAGCGTAAGACTCACAAAGGAGATTTTTCTTTGCTCCATTATTGGGGCTGGAAAGAGAACAATGGTCTATTTAATAGCCATTATTGTTTCTTTCTCCTGCATTGAATTAAAATTACTTTAATAGTCTATTAGAAAGTTCTTTGTAAAATCGCTATCAGTTATTTTGCTTATTTCCACTGGTTTATTAACAGTGAACTTGAAACTAATTCAATGCTTTTGAGAGGGCATACCCTTTACACTCAGGAACTAAAAAATTTATGTGATACTCTATAAATAAAACTTGTAATACTTCCAGTATGCTTGGTTTAAGCCTATCTGGTCTAAATTAGTAACAGACTTATTCTTTTTTAAATAATAAATTCATTTTTTAAGATTTTTCCTTTTTAAGATTTATTTTTATTGGAAAGTCAAAAATACAAAGAGGAGGAGAGACAGAGAGGAAGATCTTTCATCTGATGATTCACTCACTAAGTGGCTGCAGAGGCCGGAGCTGAGCCTGTCTGCAGCCAGGAGCCAGGAGCTATTTCCAGGTCTCCCATGCAAGTGCAAGGTCCCAAGGCTTTGGGCCATCCTCGACTGCTTTTCCAGGTCAGAAGTAGGGAGCTGGATGGGAAGTGGGGCAGCCAGTTTAGAACCAATGCCATATAGGATCCTGACACATGCAAGGCAAGAAACCTAGCCACTAGGTTACTGCGCCAGACCCAAATTCATTTTATTTTTGATGTTTATATGGTTGAGAGGGATGCATGCCCATGTGGGCCACCAATCAGGGTGGGATGAGTTGGAGAATAGGGGAAAGTGGATTAGACAACTGTTTCCAATCTCTTTTCTTATTCAGTACCCAGGAATGGGGGAAGGCCACCCGATGTCATCCCAGGGTGCCCGATGAGCATGTTCCGTGATTTTGATAATTCTGAGATGCTGTTAATTTCATTGCTCCAAGGTTGAAGAAATGCTTCCAAAGTCCGTTGGCTAACAGAGTTCACCTTAGTTTTGATTGGCCCAGATACTTGTCAGGAGAGCTGCCCAGTCTGCTCTGCCCTCCATGGTACCACATCCTCTGCAGGCCTCAGTGGGCTAGTTGCTATGTCTCCTAAGTGCATGTCATCCACCACGCAGGCCTCACGAAATGTGGGACCCAGTTCTGACACATACACTAAACACTCAGACCACAAATCCTGTGATTTTCACTGTGGTTTGAGTTCTAAGTCAGTTGCCAGAGGTGACCTCAACCTTACTCCTGTATATCAGACTTATTCTTTAAGGTTTGCTTATTTGAGAGAAAGTTACAGAAATAGCAAAAGAGAGTTTCCATCTGCTGGATCACTCCCCCAAAGGGCCACAATGGCTGATGCTGGGCCAGGGTGAAGCCTGGAACTCCATCTGAGTCTCCCACATGAGTGCAGGGGCCAGAGCCCTTGGTCCATCTGCGGCTTTCCATCTTCTACACTTTAGCAGAAGCTGGATCGGAAGTGGAGTATCCAGGATACAAACCAGCATCCCTTTGAGCTGTCAGTGTCAGACAGGAGTTTAGTGTGCTACACCACACCACCAGCCCATAACAATAGGTTTTTAAGAGGCATCCTTGCAGTAGTAATTATAGAAGGTGTCATTATGGAACAGGTGGTATGATAGTTCCTAAGTATGAGTTCTGGAGTCAGACTGGATTCAGAGCTTCGATTAAAGCTCTTGGGATGGAATGTTACCAGGTTTTATCAACTTGCACAGCTGTGCAAATGGCTGTACCCTTAGTGCTCTGTGGACCTCACTTTCCTCCTGTGTAAATTATGACTCATAGTAAAACAACTACCAAGGGCTGATGTGAATATTGAATGCATAGATTATAGAAAGTGCTTAGAACAATGCCTGGAACATCCTCAGAACTCAATAATGTTAGGCATTATTACTTGGCCCCTCCTCCCCCCCAACACTGAATGGTTCTAAGACACTGTTAAGTGCTTTCTGAAGCTCCTTATAGGAGCTGTTTGTGACATTCCTTGTATGTCTTATGTAATATGATTGATAGAGAATAGCTTTAAGATACTCTTCCAAGTTTTATTAGGCTTTTTTCTTCATTGCATTTAAGATAAAAGAAAAAGAATATTTGTTTGAAAGTAGAGTTACACACAAAGCAGAGAAGACAAGAACAGATTTTTCCATTCACTGTTTCACTCTCCAAATGGCTGCAGCTGCTGGGGTGAAAGGTGAGGAACCTGGAACTCTTTGAGTCTTTCCTGTGGGTGACAGGTGCCCAAGTACTTAGGCCATCTTCTGATGATTTCCCAGGTACATTAACAGGGAGCTGGATGGAAAATGAGCCACCAGTACTGGAACCATTGTTCCTATGGGATGCTGGCATTGCTGTTCCACAACATGATTCCAGGTTGATTTAACTTTTTAGGCAAAATGAACATCCAGGGCCCAGTGCAATGCCTCAGTAGCTAAATCCTTCCCTAGCATGCGCCGGGATCCCATATGGATGCCACTCATGTCCCATGGTCCACGTTCCATCTAGCTCACTGCTTGTGGCTTGGGAAAGCACTAGAGGATATGGGGACTCTGTGCCCCAGAGGAGACCTAGAGGAAGCTCCTGGCTCCTGGCTTTGGATCAGATCAGCTCCAGCCATTGCAGCCACTTGGGGAGTGAACCAGTGATGAAACATCTTTCTTTCTGTCTTTCCTTCTCTCTGTAAATCTGATTTTGCAATAAAAATAAGTCTTTTAGAAAGAGAAGATGACTATCCAAGGCTCATAAAACTCCTTGGAACAGCAGGTGAAAGATGGATTCCTCTTCAGAATTTTGTGCTGTACTCTAGAATTTCTCTTTTGTTCTATCTGTTTACATGATGACAAGGGGAAAAAGGAAGACTTGCCTGTGACTTATTAGCATTTTTGAATTTTGATGAAAGATATTTTTTTAAAAACCTTTGATTATTTGTATCTTTCAGAAAATGTCTTTGAAATTTAAAAATGCAAAGCGGATTGAAGGAATTGATAGCAATGTGTGGTGAGTATCTTAGGATAAATAATAATAATTTGGTGAGGTTGTCCTGCATAATTTTATCGCCTCAATTGGAAATGTTTAGCCATCTTCACAGCCTACAAGTAAAACCACACTCATTTGGCTTTTCCATCTCCACTCATCTAGTGGAGATGGAAGGAAGTTAGGAATCAGGTGAGCAGTGTGCCATGCCCTGTGCCTAATCACTGAATATACTAGAAAAAGAAAAACAAATTTGCCTTTTAGTCTATGAGCTTTCTTTGTTAATCATATCAATGTTATCAAGCAGCTTATGGGAGATCCTGGTAGCAGCAAGACTCACTGAATAAAAATATGATCAATATGGGTATCATGGAATTGAAGGTTATAAGGTACATTAAATTTGCAGATTGAGTCATCATTTTGTTAGGTAAACTCATTTGTGGATGTCAAAGTAAACTGGGTCTTATTTTTTTAGTTATGTAAAAGACCAGGAGATGTCAAACAGCACATTTTGGTAACAGTACTTACTGTTAATTTGGATTTTGTTTTGTGTGTGTGCTTATTTATTTATTTTTTAGGATTGAATTTACCAAGTTGGCAGCAGACCCATCTGTTGTAAATCTTGGCCAAGGCCTTCCAGATATATCCCCGCCTGCTTATGTAAAGGAAGAATTATCAAAGATCGCAACAGTCGACAGCCTGAATCAGTACACCCGGGGCTTCGTAAGTATATCAGGATGCAGTGGAGCATGAGCGTGTGTTTTTTGTATTTTTTGTATTATGTGTATGAGAATCCAGACACTTTCATATGGAATGCAGTGCCCTTAAGCTGTGCCAACTACGACACCAGCTACACACCCCAGAAGAAACCATTGTCTTTTATGGCAGTCCCACTGCAAAAGCCCAGAGAGGGCCTTGCTTGCAGGGATGAGCAGTGGGACTGACCTGGCTGCCTCTTTGACACTGGCAGAAATGCTTGTTCCCATAAACCCTTACTATCTAATGCCACCCGCAGAGCCCTTCTCAGACACACACCTCCTTTTAGGCCCGTTAAGTCCATGAACAAAGGCTAAAAGAAGGGAACAATGAAGGAATGTTAATGAAACTAAAAGCTGTTCTTTGACAAGATCAGTGTGTAAAAATGTTAATAAGCTAGATCAGTCAATAAAAGAATACACATACTTCCTATATGAGGAAGGAAAAGAGAATATCATTACGGATCACACAGACCCTAAAGCAAAAGAAAGGAAATATTAAGAGCATTATATGCCAATCTATTCAGCAGCTTCCATGAAATAAATTATTTAAGAGACTGAACCCATCAGAACTGCCATCTGTTGACTTTTAATCCTTTCCTCCTAGGACAGTGATTATCCTCCGTGAATGCCACTCCCTTGGGCCATCAACATGGATAACACTCCCATCCTGTTAGCATTTACTGTCACATCAATGTTAACATGCATGCCTTTGAATTTGTTTTTGCCCTTCCCATAGTCTGTGAGTTGTCATCTCGTCTCTAGCAGCTTGGGAATACGTAGTCATGAAATTTTTCAATGTATTGCTTCTAAAAAGTACAAATCTTTGGACAACAATAAATGTTCAAGCCTACATTTTGAAATGTCTATATTTTAGGACTATATAACCTCAAAGAAGTAGGTTATATAATTAATTCTGTTTTTCTTCTTTTTTTATCCAACAGGGGCATCCATCACTGGTGAAAGCTCTATCCCACCTCTATGGAAAGTTTTATCCAAATGAAATCAATCCAAATAAAGAGATCCTTGTGACAGTGGGAGCATATGGATCTCTGTTTAATGCCATTCAGGGACTAATTGAAGAGGGAGGTGAGGTGAGTTAAGAACATTAATTCAGTACTCATATTAATGCCACCTTTGAATCTTCACTTCCATTCTTTTTTATTAGTTTCAATGCAATTCACAGTCCAATTCAAAAATCTCAAGTGTATAGCTTGATGCTTCCATTTTCATATAAATTAAACCCAAAGATAGAGTGAATTTCCAGCACCCTAGAAAATCTCTGTTCCCTCCATAGTTTACAGTCTCATCATTCAGTCTCCTGCCACCATGAGCTTGACTATCCTCTTAGCTGATCTAGAGATGCACCCACTTGGTTCCATATAATCTCTTAAAAGACAGTAGCAATGATGGGGGAAAAGAATGCCTTCATTGATAAAATAACTTCTAATCTGAACATAATCAAATATTTGGTCAGTAGATTTCTGTGCCAAGTTCTGTGTTAGTACTGCAGCACCAAGATGTACACGTATGACAGGAAAGTTCAATATTTCTGCTATTTGGTACTGTGATATGAAACCAAGTTGGGAGCCTGCCTCATCCATCTCCACTACAACTTCCCTGACTTTCCTGAGTTTTTATTTCTTGATCTCTTTCATTTTTTTCAGAAATTACTGAGAATCTCTCATATGCTAACACTATGATAAAGAAGAATTTTCAAAGATCATTTCTAAGTATAAGGTTCCTTTCTAGTAGAGGAGATACACTTGCAAATGAATCAGGAGGAATGTTGTGTGTTGATGAATAATGGAGAATGTATGACTGATGGTGTTGGCAAGAGGAAGAAGTGATCAGACCTGCAAATGTGGGTCTGTGAAACTCCAGAATGCATTATTCAGGCTAGGTCTAGAAACGACTATATGTCAGGTCATGTGCATTGGCTCAATTGGATAATCCTCTTCTTCAAGCTCAAGGATCCCATATAGAGGCCAGTTTGTGTCCTGGTTACTCCACTTCCAATCCAGCTCCCTACTTACAGCCTGGGAAAACACTTGAGGATAGCCCACGTCCTTGTGACCCTGTATTCACTTAGGAGACCAGAAAAGACTCCTGACTCCTGGCTTGGGATCAGCTCAGCTCCAGCCGTTGCAGCCATTTGGGGAGTACACCAGCAGGTAGAGGATCTTTCTCTCCCTCTCTCTTTCAATGAAAGCAAATAATCTTTAAAAACAAAAACAAAATGACTGTCCCACTGATAGCATTTGATCACATCATGTTCATTAAAGACACCGTTATCGGGCCTGACACAATGGCTCAGTGGCTAAATCCTTACCTTGCATACACTGGGATCCCATATGGAACCCGGTTCATGTCCCAGCTATTTCTCTACCCATCCAGCTCCCTGCTTGTGGCCTGAGAATGCAGTAGAGGACAGCCCAGAGCCTTGGGACCCTATAACTATGTGGGAGACTCAAAAGAGGCTCCTCGCTTCAGATGAGCTCAGCTCCATGCATCGCAGGCACTTGGGGAGTGACCTGCAAAAAGAAGATTATTCTCTCTGTCTCTCCTCTCTGTAAATCTGTCTTCCCAATAAAAATAAATCAATCTAATTTTAAAAAAAGACACCACTATCTACTTCGTGTTACATTATTTTATATCTCTAATTTCCTCTATATGCTATTAAAGGAAACAGTCACACCTTATGTCTATAATCTCCCTTAATCCTGCTTCCATGTCGTTAAGCCTTTATTGCACCTGCTTCTGCATTCTTATCAGAGGATCCCACAGCTCAGCTCTTGCCTTGCTTGTTCTTTCTATCATACTGACCTGTTTATTGTTACTACCTACAGTTACCTGGCTTGCTTGTTTTCTCATTCACTGTGTTTCCCAGTCAGATCCTGGTTGTTTTTTGTTTCTTTCTCTCTCTCTCTCTCTTTTTTTTTTTTTTTTTGAGAATTTGTTTATCTCTATATTCCTAGCACCCAAAACAGACTGCTCAGTAGCTTTCTTCAAGAACAAGAGTTATCCTATCATAAAAATAAGAAAAGGCAAGGAATATCAGGTATCAAGTGTATTCTTTCCTTCTTACTGCCCCTCGCCACTTCTGTTCCTTCACTGAACCCTCACCTTTGGGTCGGGCACTGTTTCTCATGAGGGTTCTAAGGAGAGGACCCCAGGACCCTAGGCTGCTGGAGGGAAGGAGCCAGCCCACTCTGTGTGAGCTGGATGACTGGTGTAGACAAAGGGACTTTCACTCTGCCTGGCTCCAATGAGAAAGACCTTGAACAGATACTTTACATCGACAGAAATAAAAACAGTAAAGGCTAAACATGGAAAATTACATTTAGCCGACAAATAGTTAAATGAAACAGCTTCACATAACTTATAAAATTAGAAATTATTACCAAAATTTTTCCAAAACAATTTGGAGGCACACATTTGACACACATAGTATCTTTATGTATACAATCATAAAAATGTTTACACCCTTTAATCTAGAGCTAGTAATCCTGTGAAGTTATTAAGTTAACTTAAAATAGAGAAAACACTGAATCACAAATGAACATGGTAATGTTATTTAAACTAGCAAAAGATATGAAAATTATTCTAGAATTCAGTAGACTCATGTAGCCATTAAAGAAATAAACAGGAAACTTGTAATGTGAAATTTTCATAAAATAGTGCTAGTTCTTTTAAAAGATAGAAAAATGTGATGTGTATAAAATATGAGCTCAAACTTGTTTGAGAGATTGGACGTCAGATGTGCTGGATCAGCCTGGCAGAGCACTGAGATAGTGACTGTGTTGATCCATGAACCTGCTCCCTAAGGTGTAGCCAGGAATCAGCATGCAGGAGCTGGCTCCCTAAGGTGTAGCCAGGAATCAGCATGCAGGAGCTGGCTCCATGGTGTAGCCAGGAATCAGCATGCAGGAGCTGGCTCCATGGTGTAGCCACGATGCGATGACAACATGGCTATAGCACGATGCCAGGCCCGTGGAACGATTTTGCAAAGAGAGAAACATCTTTACTTTCAAGATAGCAATCCTTGCCAGGACTCGCTCTCTCTCTTGCTCTCTCAGATTTATTATTTATTTGAAAAAGCACTCTCTCTGTAAAATCCTGCTTTGGTCATTGTCTATTGCATAGGTTATGTTCTAGATTTAGTGAAGTTCTTCATGGTTTAAAATTTGGTGGCGTTGTAGCTGAAGAGGTTAAGCCGCCATCTGGGGTCACTGGTATTCCGTATCAGAGCTCAGTTCAATTGTTCTGCTTCTGATCCTGCTCCCCGCTAGTGCAGCTGGGAAAGCAGTGGACACTGGACTGAGTGCTTGGACCCTACCACACATACAAGACTAGGATGTAGTTCCCGATTCCTGGCTTCTACATGACGACCCCAGCTGTGCGGGTCATCTGGGGAGCGAGCCAGTGACTGGAAGAGCACATTCTCTCTCTGTTTTCCTTTCTGTCTCTCTCCCTCCCCTGCCCCCCTTTTTTGTAATACATAAGGAATTTTGTAAATGTTTGAGAACTCTATCCTATTTTCCCAAACATTTGGGTGTTAGCCCAGGAAGACAGGGCCTGCCTTTTCACTGCTGCATTTCCACGCACAGGACAGTGCCTCACACAATCCTAGTGAAGTGTACTGATGACCCAGGTGTCATATTCTTATTTGTGTTTATTTCAGGTTATAATAATGGTGCCTTTTTATGACTGCTATGATCCCATGGTGAGGATGGCTGGGGCAACACCTGTTTTCATTCCCCTAAGATCTGTAAGTTTGCCAGTACAGTTCTTTTGGTTTAAGAAGTCTTGAGATACAAATTACTTGGTTGCCAATAAAGTTTCAGCTTTGATTGTTTTGGGGAGTTTACTATATATCTCTATTTGTTTAAGTTTTTAAAAGTCTTTTGAAAATAGCTAGCATGCTCAGGTAAATCACAAGATCATGCATTAGCCTTTCAGTATCTGCCATATTAACCATAGTTATAGACGTTTGCTGAGAAGGAATACAGGCACTTTAACAGCTGTTAATGTTGGCAGGGCTCATTTATCCAGTTAACAGGTGTATGTGGAAGACTCCAGGTCCCTTGGCTTCTCAAGGCAGAACTGAAGCCTGATTGTTTCTGTTTGCGTTCTTTGTTAGTAACAGTTCCCTTTGGCATGTATTTCTCCATTTTTTTTTTCTTATCAGGATATTTATTTGTAAGACAGAAAACATTAATTGTACTAAATCCCATCTTCATTCTTCATGCTTAGAAACCTCCTGATGGGAAAAAGTGGTCTAGTTCTGACTGGACATTTGATCCTCAAGAACTGGCAAGTAAATTTAATTCCAAAACTAAAGCCATTATCCTAAATACGCCTCATAATCCCCTTGGCAAGGTAAGTAACCCTCATCTCTTTATCCTGTCTGTGGACCCATTATTTTCTTATGTGTGGATAATAATGTGCTGTGCGTTTGCTTAATTGTGCATAGGTATATACCAAAGAGGAACTGCAAACGATTGCTGACCTTTGCATCAAACATGACACACTCTGCATCAGTGATGAGGTTTACGAATGGCTTGTGTACCCTGGAAATAAGCATTTAAAAATAGGTACTGATTATTATATGGAGTCACAAATCTAAATATGCTTGGGGACATGTGGAACAACTGATTGGAAAGGATCCCAGGCCAGCTTTAAAATAGTCTTTGCATTGGGTTTCTAAGCAGTATTTGGATGAGTGATATGTGAGTGAGTTAATGAACCATTTGTAGCACAAACATGACAAGCTTAAGAGATTTTGGATCATGCTGCAATGCGATAAAGCCAGAGGGGTAAGACTTTTGCTTATATGTGTGGCTTCTTGGTGTGAGTCTTGCCATTATGTGATACCTAAGCATGCTAGATCCTGAGGATGTGCAGGACTGTCTGTGCTGAGCAAGTTGTCAAATGCCAAGTCAACAGGGAGAAGTTACAAGGGTAATAGACTAGTCTTCAGCCTTTACTGGGGCTTTGCCATGATTGCTACGCCATCTCACACAGACCACTTTGTCTTCTGGAAGAATCCAATTTTATATCAAATATGGGATTGTAAACTGGCTATATGGGAATCTTTGAGTGGTTACACTTTATTGCCTACCTTTATCTGCAAATACTTTCCCCCAAAGTACACATACGGCTTTGTTCTTCAACTGTCTTGGGTCTTGGTCACTATGTAGGGTTTTTGTTTGTCTATTTGCTTAAGATTTGTTTTTTATTTGAAAGGTTTTTTTATTTGTTTAAGATTTGTTTTTTATTTTTTTATATATGAGAGAGATTTCCCATAGCCACAATGTCCAGAGTGGGACCTGTCTGAAGCTGGGAGCCAGGAGCATCTGCTGGGTCTCCCCTGTGTGTGCAAAGGCCCGAGCACTTGGACCATCCTTCACCGCTTTTCTAGGCACATTAGTAGGGAGCTGTATCATAAGTGGAACAGCCAGAACTCAAACCAGCATTCATATAGGCTGCCGGCATCACAGGCAGAGAATTAGCCTGAAAAATTACTGTGCCTGCCCTATATTTCAGTTCATATGCCTACCACAATTAAAAATCTTATTTTATTTTTCTTTTGTTGTTAATATCTGTCTTACTTCTAAACTGTAAGAAAGTATGAATTATTTTATTCTCTTTTGAATCCTCATTTTGCAGAATGGAGTCTTACAAATGAGAGGTAATCAAAGTAACAGTTGAATAAATGAACTGGGAGTATGAGAAAGGATAACAGAGTGATAAAAGACACTGGTAGCAGAAATAGCTAATAGACAAATGTTAAAAATAGACTAGAGGGCCCGGCGCGGTGGCGCAGTGGTTAAGGTCCTCGCCTTGCACGCCCGGGATCCCATATGGGCGCCGGTTCTATCCCGGCGGCCCCGCTTCCTTTCCAGCTCCCTGCCTGTGGCCTGGGAAAGCAGTCGAGGATGGCCCAAAGCTTTGGGACTCTGCACCTGCGTGGGAGACCCGGAAGAGGCTCCTTGCTTCAGATCGGCATAGTATCGGCCGTTGTGCTCACTTGGGGAGTGAATCATCGGACGGAAGACCTGATTCTGGTGTATGTTTGCCAATACAGGGTCTAGCACCATCTGGCACCCCAATCAGTTTATGTACATGCTGGTAGCTACAACTGCTTGGTCAGTTCTGTCTCCAGCCCTTTCTTCTACACAAACCAGTGGGTGTTGCAGCCCAACCCAGTCCTGCCCACTACACACTCGGCCTTCACGTACGCCAGTGGGAGCTGCAGCATAGTTGGAGCGACCCGCAATAATCGCACCAGGCCTGCCCCCTGTCCTGGTTCCTGTCCTGCCAATATGCACAGCAGACTGGTCCCATCTGTCCCACATCCCCTTCAGAGGTGGTTTGATTTATAAGGGTGAACTATTGTAGCTGATGTGGCTGAGCAAAGGTGATTGTAAAGCACTCTGCATGTGGAGATAAAGAGAAGAAACTCTGTGCTTGAGGTCAGTGGTTTGGACAGCTCAATGATGAGTACCTTGAGGCACATCCAGCTCCCTGCTTGTGGCCTGGGATGGTCCAAGTCCTTGGGAGTTTGCACCCACATGGGAGACTTGGAAGAATGTCCTGGTTTTGGATTGGCTTAGCTCTTGGTTGTTGCGGCCAGAGTGAAGCAGCAGATGGAGGATCTTTCTGTCTCTCCTTCTCTCTGTAAATCTGCCTTTTCAATGAAAATAAGTATATTTAAATTGATTCAGTATAAAAAGAAGTCAATGTGAAAGTCACCATTGTTTTCATTTTTGTCTGTTAAAAAAAAGAAAAAAAGAGCTACCAATGGCCTGGCACAGTAGCCTAGTGACTAAAGTCCTCACCTTGCATGCCCTGGGTCCCATATGGGTGCCGGTCCATGTCCCAGCTGCTCCATTTCCTTCTGGCTCCCTGCTGGAGGCCTAGGAAAGCAGTCAAGGAACCCAAAACCTTGGAACCCAAAGCACCTGTGTAGGAGATCCAGAGGAAGTTCCTGGCTCCTGGCTTCAGATTGGCTCAGCACCAGCCATTGCAGCCACTTGGGAAGTGAACTCTCTTTCTCTCTGTAAATCTGACTTTTCAATAAAAAATAAATAAATCTTTTTTTAAAAAAAAGAGCTACTGAAATAAGCCAACTTGAATTTTCCTGATTTTAGTATTAATATTTAATAAAAAGGCTTAGGAAAATTGTGTGGAAGAGCACATAAAATCGGTTTCTTAGAATTCTGTACATTGATTTGATGGCTTGAGTGCCAGGAAACACACTTTAAAAACTGCAAAAGATAAAACAAGGCAAGGGAATTGGTTTCCTGATGAGAAAAGTAGCTAAAGGCAAGAGGTGCAATGAGAGTTGTAGGCAAATCAGGTGCCCTGGCTAACACTGGAGATGATATAGGGGGCTGTTCAGAAATAGAAACTGAGGCACAGAGGCACACAGAGCAAGTGTTTAAAAATGGGAGGCGATGACAGAGGTTCTGCAATTTCCAGCCTTGTCTGCTTAGCAACAGTGAGGCCCCTAGTCAGAGATAACAGGAGAACATTTGTGGGAAAGAGATGACAGAGGGAAGTCCTGCTTCTCAGGCATTATGTTTGCCATGCTGCAGTGTCCGAGACAGGGAGACAAGAGGAATGATGGGCTGGTAGGATCAGGTGGCAAAATTTGGTATTCATCAGAATTTTGATAGCCAGATCCAAGGAAAAGAATTTTCTCAAGGAGAAGATAATACAACGAACAGAGAAAGCAGTAAGAGATTTAACCAGTCAAAATGCTATGGATCTTAGTTGCAACTCGGTATATATGATGCTCTCTGTCTCAAGTCAATTGAACAATTTCAAATATCAGGTGAAAATCAGAGCAACATAGACATGGTGGGGTTTTTTTGTTTTATTTTGTTTTGTTTTGTTTTGTTTTGTTTTTGTAATTCATTCAGGTAAGCAATATTTATTCGAAAAGATTAAATGGTCTTAAACTTATTACTTAGACATGAATTGCGAGTCCTTGAGCATGTCACTGCTAAGAGTATGTGCAATATATTTTAAACACAATCATTTTTAGTTGTTATAACATCCCATAACATTGAAAACAAGAAAAAATGAATTCTCTATTTCATTGCTTAATAAGTATAATTCATTCACATTAAACTTGGATATTCTCTCCAGTATAGTGGTCTTTGCAAGATGAAAGATGCCAACTAGCTATTCCATGTGTTTTTAAAGCACAACAAGTAATTACTTAAATTGACAAGATTTTCTGAATGGATGTCACGTAATCAGAGTCATTTTCATATTGTCACAGTTAACCTTGATGTAGCACTGTTCATCGTGTCTCTGATCTTTTTCTTGTTCCATTAAAGCCCAAGTTGCCTATAACTAGACTCGAGCTGCTTTGACTGAAATTTATTAAGCCTATTAATGTATTATTTGAGTGTAGTTTTAGTGTTTCAGACGTGTTTTAGGCTAAAGTTACGTTCTTTTTTTAAGATGTATTTATTTTTATTGCTAAGTCAGATTTACAGAGAAAAGGAGGGACAGAAAAAGATCTTCCATCCACTGGTTCACTCCCTAAGTGGCCACAATGGGCAGAGCTGAACTGATCTGAAAGCAGAAGCTAAGAGCTGGAAGATCCCAAGGCTTTGGGCTGTCTTCTGCTGCCTTCCCAGGCCTCCAGCAGGGAGCCAGAGAGAAATGGAGCAGCTGGGACATGAACCAGCACCCACGTGGGATACCAACATTAAGTTACATTATCTAAAAAAACAAACAAAAGCAAAAAAAACCTTTTGATGTAATTATACTAACTGTATTGTAATACATCTATTGTGATTGAATTCATGTATTTTTTTAGGTTTTGCAATGTGTTGAATGTGACTGAGTAACTATTTATTTAAATTTATGTTTTCCTCATTCAGCCACTTTTCCAGGCATGTGGGAGAGAACGATTACTATAGGAAGTGCTGGGAAAACTTTCAGTGTCACAGGATGGAAGGTGAGATAAGGAATAAGTTAATTGCTGAAAACTAGACTTGTCTCTGTTTTCTATTTACATGTCTCTCTTCAGCTTACACCTATTCTTACACTTTTTCCTTATCCACTTACGGAGCTTTCATGTTACTCTTCATCCTTTCTGAGACCATCATTTCTTTAAAAATAAAGTAATTCAACTAATGACCAAGGAAAAACAGTAGTTAATATTTCAGCATGTTAGACTATAGATTTTAATGTAATAATCTCTTTGATTCTCCTAATCACTTTAGAATTGATAAAACTGAATCATGGAGAAGTTAACTGCTGAGGTTATACTGCTAATGCATTAAAGCCAGGACAGGCAGTCTGGCTTCAGAATCCATTTACTTAATTACCATGTTATGGAGTACAATGACAGCTGAAAGTTGCTTCTCCTCCAGCCTCACCTCTGAACATGGCTGACAAGTAGAGAACACCAAAAAAGAAGCCTACAGAATCTAAAATCTATACAAGGAGTCTTTTAAAAGTTCATGCAAAAGGAATATTAGAAAAAATGTGCACCGATTTTTAAATTTTTTAATTTTATCCTTCATCCCATTTTTCTATGAACTTTTTGAAGTACTTTTAACCTCTTATTTAGAGTAATTCAAGCAAACTTTGTTACTGGTTTTGAGTCCTTTAGAATATGAGAATTAAAGAGAAGAGAAAAAAAAAAGAGAGAACAAGCTCTATTTACCTTCTGAAAGCAGAGCTTTGTGACTAATTGGAAACTTTGACAATGAAGAGTGTTGAAATGATTTTAAGTACTAAGGTTGCACCATAGTTTTGATTGGTGAAAATTTAAGACTTGCATATATTAAAATTACATTATATTTAGCTACTTTTTTAGAGGCGGTATAAATAGGTTATTTTTGACATCTGCTTTTATCTTTTCCTTCCTCAGCTTGGTTGGTCCATTGGTCCTCATCACTTGATCAAACATTTACAGACAGTTCAACAAAACAGTGTTTATACTTGTGCAACTCCCTTACAGGTAGGCACTATGGTAACTTGGAGTTGAAGCATGCTGTTTTGATAACAGTGTTGTTTTCATAAGGCATAGTTGAATTGACTTAGTTATTCCTTTCAGATCCTTTAGGAAATGTCTTTCAAATTGAAAATTTTAGGAACAGACACATATCCACTGCTTTCAAGAATAATGGTTGGTTGGTTTTTTAAATATATCAGGTTTCGGCTTTGAACACACATACATGCTGTGAAGAATAGAGGATGCTTTTTTATTATTAATATTGTTTACATAGTTGAAAGGGATGCATGCCCATGTGAGTCTCCAATTAGGGTGAGGAGGGTCGAAGTATGGAAGAAAGTGGATGGGATAAATGTTTTAGGGTTTTTTGTTTTGTTTTGTTTTGTTTTGTGTTTTCTCCTGTGTCTTAAGCAGGGGCAAAGAAAAGGGCCACTCTTTGTTGTCAAACTACATCGACACCTGGGCATAGGGGGTGGTCCTTTGATAATGCCTAAGAGACCCTGATGTGGGAAACAAGTGTTACTTGAGTGGTTTTGCTAGTTCTCAAATGTTATCAGCTTCACTGAACCAGGATTGAAAATCTCTTCCCAAGGTCCATTGGCTGACCAGATCCACCATAGTGCATCCTCAGGTCCAGGACCATGCTACAAAGCTTGGCCAGGAAAGGGGTCCAACCTGTTTTGCTATTCATCTTCTGACAAAGCACTCTTTCTTCTGCTGGCCTAAATGAGCTGGTTATCATGTCTTCTGTATGCATCTAGGCATACTGTCCACTGCACAGACATCAGATGATTCATGCACTCTAAGATCATACCCAATATGATCATACCACAATAATTATGCCTTTCCCTGTGGCCAGGGTTTGAGTCCAGCAGTCCAGTTCAGGAGTACCCCAAGAAACCTCACCTGGGGTGACCTCAGACTTTTGCGTGATCCACCCAGTGCAAGGTCAGGTTTGGTCTATCACCTGCACCAGCCAACACACATTCTAGTGGATAGAGCTGGCTGGTCAGCTTCACCCCCAGCTGCATCTCTCATGTGAACTGGTAGTGCCATAGCCTAATCCGACCCAGCCCACCACAGGCCCAGTTGCACATCAACAGGTGTCACAGGCTAGCTGGAGCAACCCCCAGTTAACCCCACCAGGTCCACCCCAGCCCTGGTTTCTGCATGTGCTGGCATGTACTGCAGCCTAGCCTGATCTGCCCCATATCCCATATAGCTATTATGCACACCCACAGGTGCTGCAGATGAGCTCAGCCCAACCTGTATTCAGACCCATCCCACATGTATGCTGACAGGAGCTGCTGCCTTGACCAGCCTGGCCTACCCCAAGCCTTGGCAGGTGCACCCCCACAAAGTCCCAGCTATGTTGGCCCATTCCCAGCACCAGATCTTATGCATGCTGGTGGGTGTTGTGGTTCAACCCAACCTGGCTGCACCTCATCCAATCTCTCATTCGTGTTAGTGTGTCCTATAGAGTAGCCCAGCCAAGTCTACCCCTAGGCCTGGCTCACACATATGCCAACAGCTACTGCTACCCAACCTGGCCTGGTCTGCCCCAAGGTCTGCCCCTCCCATTCAGCAGTAGGAGCTTTGGCCTACCAGGGAATTTGCCAAGTCTCCTGCTAGACTGGCTTTCAACTCCAGGTATCACATGTGCCAGCAGGTGCCACAGCTCTGTGTGACATAGTCTGCCCTCAGTCCCAGTCTTTGCATGTGCCAGCTGGTGCTATAGCATAGCCCAGCCCAGCCCTCTCCCAGCCCCGACTCCCATGACTGTCAGGTGAGCTCCATGGTTCAGTCTGGATCAGCCCATCACCACTTCCAGATCTCCATACAAACTGGCAGGTATTACAGTATCACAAAGATAAGCCCATAAGTCCCCTACAGAATCTAGCCCTAGTTCTGCTGCAGCCCAACCTAGTATGGCCCACTCTCTGCTCTGACAGCTAAAGCCTAACCCAGCCAGGCATACCCCCTCTCTCAAGCTTTTGCATGCATCAGTTGGAGGCAGGTGATGCTATTTACCCTAGCCCAGGTCTCCCACATGAGTGGATGCCTTGGCCTGACCCAGGCATGCCTTTATGTTTCCCCCTTTAAACCATTCCATCTCATTTCCCTCACCTAGCTTCAAGAAAAGTCATTCTTCCCCTTATGGACATGCCTCAGCTATTCTCACTCTGATAAGTCCTCAGACTTTGTTCTCCAGGTAGCCACATCTGGGGATAAGAGTGGCATGTTCTGCCTGGCATTCCCCACCTTCCACATATGTATTAAATGCATACATATGTTACATATTACATACATATAATTTTTAAAAGTAGAATAGGCAACTATGCTGGCATACTGGTGTAGTTAACACAAAATTGGCATTAGCCAGGTCCGGAGTGTCCACCAGCATTGGCCTCTTTTCTCCCAGCAATATAACACTTACCTAGGTACAAGGCACCCTGGGCAGTTGCTTACAGCTGGAGAAGAGTGCAGAGTGTTTTAAGTTCTTTGGAAGATAGCACCAAGCACAGTCACAGATGTACTTGTGCTTGGAAGCAGCAAGCCATCTTCTGAAATGTACTCTAGAGCTTTAATCTGCAGATGCAAGAAGTTATGTATACACATCACTGTGGTTGCACATGGCAATTTAGTGGGCAGATACGGATAATAAATATTATCAAAATATAACATGTCAGGCCTGGCGCAGTAGCCTAGAGGCTAAAGTCCTCGCCTTGCATTTGCCAGAATTTCATAGGGGTGCCAGTTCTAATCCCAGCAGCCCCACTTCCCATCCAGCTCCCTGCTTCTGACCTGGGAAAGCAGTTGAGGATGGCCCAAAACCTTAGGACCCTGCACTCACGTGGGAGACCCAGAAGAAGCTCTGGCTTCTGGCTTCGGATCAGCTCAGCTCCAGCCATTGTGGCCATTTGGGGAGTGAATCATTGGAGAGATCTTCTTCTCTGTCTCTCCTCTCTGTATATTTGATTTTCCAATTAGAAAAAAAAAAAAAAGGAGGGCCTGGTGCAGTAGCCTACGGACTAAGTCCTCGCCTTGCATGTGCTGGGATTCCATATGAATGCCAGTTCTAATCCCACTTCCCATCCAGCTCCCTGCTTTGTGCCTGGGAAAGCAACTGAGTTTGGCCCAAAGTTTTGGGATCCTGCATCTGTGTGGGAAACCCGGAGGAAGCTCCTGGCTCCTGACTTCGAATTGACTCAGCTCCACCCATTGTGGCCGCTTGGGGAGTGAACCATCGGATGGACGATCTTCCTTTCTGCTTTTTTCCCCTCTGTATATCTGCCTTTCAATAAAAAAGAATAATAATAAATTTTTAATAAATAAATAAATCTTTGAATATATATATATATAATATATCAGATGCTGATGTATGCAGCAACAAAAAAATGAATTAAGAAAGAGGAAGGGTATGCCATGTAGAAGTATACTCATTTGTTAAATAGAAAAATCTATGAAAACTGCACAGTAAAGATCACATTTGAGCAGTGGAATAAAGGAGATTTAGTAGCCACGTGATTACCTGAAGAGCCCTCTGAACTGAGAACAGGAATGCAAAGGCCCTGTAGCCTGGCTGTCATATTTATATCAATGAACATCACAGAGGCTAGAGTGATCGAGGGAGAAGGCATGGAGGAGTTGAGATTAGAGGGGCATGGAGGAGTCAGCTGGTGCTGGACCAGGTATATTGCTGTAAAGAATGAGTGAGATGGGCACAAGCACTGTGGCAGAGTGGTAAAGCTATGGCCTACAGGGCTGGCATCTTACATGGTCACCAGTTTGATTGCCAGCTGCTCCACTTCTAATGAAGCTCCCAGTTAATGCACCTGGAAAGGCAGAGGAAAATGGCCCAAGTGCTTAATACCCTGCACCCACTTAGGAGACTCTGGAAGAAGCTCCTGGCTCCTGGCTTCTGCTAGACCCAGGTCTGGCCATTGTGACCATTTGGAGAGTGAACCAGCAGATCATAGATCTTAATCTTTATTTCCCTCTCTAATTCTGCCTTTCAAATATATAAAAAGAAGTCTTTTTTAAAAAATGAGAACATTATGGGCCTGGTGCAGTAGACTAGTGACTAAAGTCCATGCCTTGCATGCATCAGGATCCCATATGAGCACCAGTTCATGTCCTAGCTACCTGCGTGGGAGACCCAGAGGAACCTCCTGGCTCCTAGCTTTGGATTGGCTCAGCTCTGGGGAATGAACCAGCAAGTGGAAGATCTTTCTCTCTGTATCCCCTTCTCCCTGTATATTTGACTTTCCAATAAAAAAAATTTTTTTTTATTAAATGAGAGAAGTCATCAATGAGTTTTTCAACACAAAAGTGGCATGGTCTGGCTTGTGTTAGCGAAAGGACTCTTGCTAGCATGTTGCAGCAATCAGGAGAAAAATGCCAATAGACTGAACCAATATATGGATGATGGAAATGGTGCAAAGTAATTTGTCGATGGATTGCATACAGGATACAAGAAAAAGAGGAGCCCAAGAAAATGTTAGTTAGGTCAGATGTATTTTCCTAAGCCAATAAGTGAACAAGTTTCTGAGAAAACAGTACAGCTGAGAATCTGTAATGTCCCTGAAAACATCTTCCACTGCTTGTCAGTTTGGGATGCTGTTTGGCTCTCAATGTTTGGAGACTTGCCCCTGCCTCAAGAAGAACCACAGATTTCCAGGCTGATGCAGTCTCCCCTTATGTCATCCTTCTAACTCTGTGCTGATTTTGAATTCTTTTGCCATTAAGGATTCTCTGTGACCTTGCCTTTCTCCATCTTTTAGTTGCTTCCCATTTCATGCTGCCCCTCTTGCAGCCCTTCAACTACGCTGATCTCTAAGGTCTTCCAATAGAACAAGTTATACCCTAGTGTTTTTATTTGTTGGTTTCCTGTCTCTTCTCGCCAGTATATACTGATGGGAAGCTGCAGTCTTGCAGTTTCCAGCACTTGTCAGAATGCCTGGGTTATCGTGAACAACATGCATTTACTGAGTGAATGAATTTATCCTTCAGTTCTTGACAACTCTTGCTTCTAATTGGCTTCTTTAAATGTGATTACTTCTATCTGTCCTGTCTTTTAGCTATTCCAAGTTCCTGATGGTTTGCTCTGAACATCATTATCATAAGTCACTGCTGTTTACATCAGCCTACAAAGCTCTCCTGCTTGTACAATCATTATGGTTTGCCTATGCCCTGAGTCTGCCTTGTTTACCTGCTCCTGGCTTGTGGCCTTCTCAGACAACTGTCTAATCTTTAATGTCACAATTGACTGCTGAAACAAATTACCACAGATTGGGCAACCTATAAACAAGAGAAACACATTTTCCACAGTAAAGAGGGAAGGGCTTCCAGGATAAAGGCACCCCCTGTTTGTGTCTAATGAGGGCCCACTTTTCACTGTGACTTCCCATGGTCGAAGTAGGGAGCTAGCTTTAGATACTAATTCCATTCCTGGGAGCTCTGCACTGCCAATTCTATTACTCCCTAAACACATTACCACCTTGGGTTTTAGGACTTCAACATATATCATTTTTTTTTAATGATACAATTCCATAGGTACAGGAATTTCCCTTCCACTCCTGCATTCCTCCTGACTCCAACTGATTTCCTCTGTAATATTTCAATAGTATAGTTCTTTAGCAATAGTCACAAGTTCCTCATTCTGCTATTTAAGTGTATCATGACACCATTGAGAGTCCTCCTTTTAATCAGAAGTAGAGAGGTAACCTGCAACATGCTTTCCTTTCCTGGTATGTTAGGAAAGTTATACAGTTCCTCTAGGTGAATAAAATTTGGAAACTCTCTCTATATATATATGTTTTAACAATGCTGGCTGTTACCTTGGCCTGGTTTCTCTCCTGCTTTTTGGTTTTCCTGGAGAAAGGTAGAGAAGATCCTTTGTGTGCTCCACTATAATCCCTGTTGCATTTAGATAACTGGCATGGGAAATGAAAGATTACAGCCAAGATTTGCATTCTGTGGAGAGGAGGTACGTTCCCTCCTCTATGCAGGGTGTCAGTTTTCATTCTCACCATGTCCTACCAGGAAATGGGTGGGCACGAAGGCACTATTTCTCCGTTGAGCACATCATTCTACAGCACACCTCAGTAGAAAACAACCTAACATCTTTTCGTTTCCAACTAAGCCACATTTCTATAATGTCTCTTTCAATTTGGATTTTCATGACTCATGTCCATCCTTCACATTAGATTCAGTCATGCCTTGTGTAATTAATTTCTCCATTAACTTGTAGAATTTAATATAGATTCACTGGAATTCAACTGTAATTTCCTGAGTGACCTTTTCACAATAATGTTACTCAGATAATTTTTATTTATTATGCCAATAAGTTAAGCAATAACTAACATCATATTTTCTTTCCACATTTTTCTGTCTTAACATGCAGGAAGCTCTGGCTCGTGCTTTTTGGATTGACATCAAGCGCATGGATGATCCAGAATGCTACTTTAATTCTTTGCCAAAAGAATTAGAAGTAAAAAGAGATCGTATAGTTCATTTACTTGAAAGTGTTGGCCTAAACCCCATAGTTCCTGATGGGGGATACTTCATTATAGCTGATGTGTCTTCACTAGGTTTGTAAACGCATTTATTATTTCAAATGTATGGAAACTCATGTGTAAAATTGTAGCAGAATTACAGAGACAAGATGGGTATCAAATCCATAACTGCTTTTAACCTATGGAAAGGGATGAATTTAACAATTCCGTTTTCTATAATTATCTTTGATTTTAGGATTTTTTGGCCTTAAGTATGTTATTAAATGGTGGTGGAGTCACTGTTCATCTAGGTAGTATATTGACAATAGAATTTGCCCTCTGAAATATAATTTAAAACACATGTATAAGAAGTTTATATTTTTTTTCTTCATTTGGGTGGAACAATTTGAAACCAGTTTGCTTTAACATAGGGAACCAAATAATAGTTTCACTATTTAAAGTGTGGTTACAGAGAAAAAGAAAGACAAAAATCTCCCATCTGCTGGTTTACTCCCCAGATGACCACAATGATCATTGGTGGGCCAGACAGAAGCCAGGATCAAGGAACTGCATTTGGGCTCCCATGTGAGTGGCAGGTGCCAAACTACTTGGCCATATTCTGTTGTCTTTCCAGGCACATCAGCTGGGAGCTGGATCAGAAGCAGAACAGACAGGGCTCATAGAGAACTGTGATAAAGTATGCTGCTATGGCAGGTGGTAGTTTAACCCACAGTACTATAGTGCAGGCCCCCCTCATTAGAGTAAAATTTCAATTTCTTTTTTTGCTCACCAAAGCAGCACAATATTCTTTTACAAATATGATTATCAGAAATTTTGGAGCCATTAGGAAATATTTACCTTTTTGGAATATTCTGAAATGAAGTAAATGGAAGTGATATTTATTAAGGGGCTCTGTGTGCCTTTTGAAGAAATTGTCAGTTCCTACTTTGCACACCAGAACACTTAACAAATTTTAAATAACTTGCCTGAAGTCCCACACCAAGATTCCGAATAGTTTTGTATTAAAAAGGCATCATCTTTATATTGCCTAAAGCTGCCACAATTCTGACATGGTCTGAATATCTAACATCAGCAGCATGATAACAATTTTTTTTCTAAAAAAAAAAAAAGAAAAAATATAGCAATGGTAGAATATAGGTCATAATTATAATTTATTCTGGCAAAAATTTAGCCAATGAGGTTTTTCACTGATGCCAAATTTTATAAAGCCGGAAAGAATAAAATATTTGGTACAAGGGGAAATCCCTGAGCTAAAGGAACTATATCATGAAAAATAAAATTTTTTTGAAAAGCGTAAAAGATTTTCAACTTTATAATAATATGGTAAAATTTTGAACTTTGTGTTCTTCATGTAGGAATTGCTTTCCAATACACAAGCACTTGATACTTGCATTTTCTACTTTTAATACTTCATCACCATCATCACAGATCTCAGGGAAGGGAGGTGTTAGTACTTTCCTATAACTACTCCTGAGCTCCCTCTGCATAACAGGCTGCTTGTAAACTCTCTCCCTGTCATGAAGGGGCTCTAGGGAAGTGCCTGTGAATAACAGCTGGGCACTTATGCTGGAAGACAGTTTGATGTCTAAGTGTCTGACCTGTGACCAAGTGTCTTGTCTCACAGATATTTGCTTATACTGTCAATGCCTTCTAGGCTCTTGTCTGCCTTGTTTTCAACTTATTCCTACTGAGATAGTCTCTGTGTTACTGACCCAGGAAGGGGAGAAGGTAGCTTGCCGGGCAAAGCCTACAGGAAGCAGGGAGCTGCCTGGAATGTGGGTGCTTGACCAGCAGTTGGAGAGCAAAAGAAGGCAAAGGACCTGTGTGCTGAAGCCTGTCTTGTGGTCCAGAGGGTTTCCCAAGCAAGTTGCTTGCAGAGTTCTAACTGAAATGGCCTAACTGACATAGGTGTAAGTAGAGTGTGTGGATATAAATTTTGTAGACTCCCACTAACAACACTAATGGAGAGATGACCACTATGGTATATCTGTGCCATCCATACTGGGTCAGAGGAGCAAGTCAAACAGGTTATAGCCAGCTGACCTATTGGAAGGTAGTGGTATAAGGCAAGCATCTGGAAGGATTGCATTGAGGAGCAGGGAAACTGTTGACTAACAACTGTGTGTAAGTTCTGTCTCTGGTATGAGAAACTCCAACATACGTTCCAACAGATGCTGAATCAACGTGAATTTATTACAACTCACTACATGAGGTTCAGCTTAAACTGCAGGAAGCTTCTTTGCATTTATTTCCTCATTTATCGTGAGAAAGGAAGCTATGACAAGCAGAAATTCTTGCAGTCATTTAGCCACACAGCTGTATTTGGGAGGATCCCAAGCTTCATCCTTAAATACCCCACAAGGCGTATCCTGAGATTTGGAAAGTATTTCTCCCATGTTGGGTCCCAATGTGCAGTTCATTCAATGAAATGATAAGAAACAATATTGTATAGTTGTCATCACTTATCTTTTTGCCTATAAAGAGATTTTCCATGTGAACTTAGATTTTTATAGATTACTTAAATATACACATGAATCTGATTTAAATTCTTATCTTCCCAAGCACAACTTTGCTTGGTTCAATGGGTATCACTCCCTTCCCTGGACAGGCTTTGCACCCTAAATATGCTACATGAAATTTGTCACATGAAATTTTTACATGATTTACTCTTTGAGTCTAATATAACAAATCTGATGAAACACATATAAAACCTGAAATACTAATTTAATTATGTCATCCGAAAAGGGCAGGCTTGTAATCATCTTTAGACTTTTGAGACCAGAATAAGCGCATTCTGTAACATGTGATACAAATCTTCAGTGCTCAATATGTAGTAGCATTTTATTAGTGTTGCTATGTGGAAATTTTGCATTCTTAAATTATGTGAGTTAGCAGTTAGAATCATCAATTAAAAACATATTCAGGCTTTTGAAAAAATAATTGTCCTTCAATGTCAACGTTTTGATATCGATAATTTTCAAAGATCCACTAGTTCGGCCTGGAGCAGTAACCTAGCAGCTGAAGTCCTCGCCTTGCACACAGCAGGATCCCATATGGATGCCAGTCCATGTCCCAGCAGCCCCACTTCCCATTCAGCTCACTGCTTGTGGCCTGGAAAAGCATTCAAGGAAGGCCCAAAGCCTTGGGACCCTGCATCCGCCTGGGAGACCTGAAGGAAGCTCCTGGCCTTCACATTGGTTCGGTGCCAGCCGTTGCAGCCACTTGGAGAATGAACCAATGGATAGAAGATCTTCCTCTATGTCTCTTCTCCTCTGTGTATATATGACTTTCAAAAAAATAAATAAATCTTTTTTTAATTGAAAAATTAAAGCTAGAGGTCTGCTATATGGGTTCAGGACCTAAGCATTTGAGCCATCTTTTGCTGCTTTCCCAGGTCCATTAACAAGGAGCTGGATCAGAGTGGAACAGTCAGTCCTCAAACTGGTGCTCATAGGCTGCCAGCACCACAGGCAGCAGCTGTATCCAGTGCACCACAACACCAGCCCCTGAGACACTAGTACCTGCTGCGAAAATTCTGAACCAGCCCAGCCTAAGCCAAAAGAGAACTTTGAATTTTAATATAATTAGATTAAATAAAAGTGCATATTGTCTGCAATAAATTCATAGGTCACCTAATTTTTTTATTTTAGATGCAGACCTTTCTGATATGAAGAGCAACGAGCCTTATGACTACAAATTTGTGAAATGGATGACTAAAAATAAGGTAATGTTTACTGACTCTGGACTATTGGATTATATTTTATTGTGAATTTATAATAATTTGCTAGCATCAATGGGAAAATAACTATATTTTATTATGTAATGTTTTATTCATGGCTGATGAAGGTTTTTTAAACTTTTTTTGGAAATTGCGAATATGTTAAAATTATCTAACCAGTATAAATTAATATTGATGTGTAAATTTTTTATTGTACCCAGCCCATTAAGTAGTTTTCATGTCATATTTTCCTGTTTATGTCTCAGAAACTATCGGCCATCCCTGTTTCAGCATTTTGTAACCCAGAGGCTAAAGTGCAATTTGAGAAGTTTGTGCGATTTTGCTTCATTAAGGTAAGTTCTCCGTACTTTACTCAAAAGGGCATTTATAATATCCTGATTTCTTAACTTACGAGGCAGCTTTTTTTCTGTTGCTGAAACCTATATGCTCATGTGCAGTAGTTTTTAAATTTTGGTTTGATCATAAGTAGTAAACAGGCAGATTATGACTATAAAGAAGGAGCCAAATGGAAATTTAAGGAGTTAAAAATATATCTGCTTTGAACAATGTATTGCACTTAGCAAAGGATTGAACATATCAGGAAAAAAATATCCAATCAGAAAAAAAGGGAAGAAAATTCATCAAAAAGTCTCAGATCCATGAGACAGTGTCAAGTGACAATATATACGTGCCATTGGAATACAAAAGAAAGGAAGTAAATAGAGTCGGAAGAAAGCTGGGAGGTAGCTCTGATATGGAGCAGTCAGGAGGGAAGCCAGTGCTGTAGGTGAAATAGTGCTGGCCCCTACTGTTATTATTTCAAGCTCTTAATGTTGTTGGAACGGTTTTTCTGGAGTCAGCGTAGCTTCTATGCCAGCTCACTCTTAAGTCAACTTAGGTAGAACAATATAAATACTGCTTTCAACTTTTGGAGATAAGCTGTAGACAAATTATGAAAGAGCTGCTCAAAATAAAACAGGAATGTTAATAACCCAAAAGTGTAAACACCCAATGGTTTGAAACATAGAATCAATGGCAAAACTATCATAAATTCTCACTGGATCTACAAATAGTGTTAGATGGTCTAGCAAGAGAAAAAACTAGTATAAGACTAGTATTTTAAAATGTAAACATAGCCCTTATCTAGTATCTCATTGGAAAACATTCTAAAATAACTGAGAGAGTGGTAACCTAATTAATAAATATCCAAGTGTATTAGGAAACGTTAGCAAGTATAGTTAATGTGATAGAAGAAGAGAAAGCCATAGAAGGAATCCTGCTTCTGCATTTTCACATTCTAGAAATAGCCAGCAAGCGGCAGGCTCAGTGTCAAGGACAACAGGAACAGTGGATGTACTGTCGGTGCATCAAGGAAGAAACATACAAACATGTTATCTAGAAACTGTGTGAGGCAAGTGGAAAGGGTATTGTGCCTAAGCTAATAAGTCAACATTCACATTGCTGTGGCTGAAAGCTGTGTTAACGCAGCATGAAAGAAATATAGAAATATGCAGATAGCCAACTTAGTTGAAAAGAAAATCTAAAAGAGCTCCTCTTTGAAAGAATTGATGAATCCTACATTAACTGTATTAAACTTTACCAAGGTAAATTTCTGCTCTCTTCCGATGCCACCCCTGCTTTTCCTTTATACATACCCACGAGTACATCTTCAAATCATATTCAAAATCAGCAGGTGACATATCCATCACCTGCAGTAATAGGAACAGTACATGCAATGGCAACGAGAGCTTACAAAGAGAATTCAATCAATATTCACTAACAATTAAAGAACACTGTGAGGAAAAACAAGAATCAGAATAATCACTAAAAAAAAAAAAAATGTTGCAATATGGCAATTGAACATTGCGGCGTTTCAGATCCAAAACATAAAACAAGAGACCAAAGAAGAGATTTTTTTTTTTAAGTTCTGAGAATATAAATGTCTTTTTGTTTTTACTGCTGTTTAGCATTTTTTAAGAGAAGAGATTTCTTTGCTCACAATTCTGGAGATTGAAAAGCATGGCACCCCATCTGCTCTGCTCCGATGAGGGTCCGAAGCAGATGTCATAACCATGACACTACTGGCGAGGGGCGCATCGAGATGCCAGACACCTTTTCTTTCTTTTTTTTTTTTTTCAAAGATGCACTTCTTAAAAGGCAGAGCAACAGAAAACAGAAGGAGGCAAAGGAGAGCGAGAGAGAGGGTACTTCAGTCTGCAGGCTCACTCTCCCGTGGCCATTACAGGACTGGATCAGGATAAAAGATGAGCCAGATACTCCACCCAGGTCTACCACATGGATGTCAGGAGCCCTCGTACTTGGGCCATTGTCCTGCTTACCAGGCACCTTAGCAGGGCACTAGACTGGAGGCTAGTAGCTGGGGTTTGACCTAGTGTGGGATACTGCCATCACATGTGGGGAGGCTTAGCTCTCAGTGCCAGTTCTGGCCCCTGAACAATTTTCTTCACCTGAAACCACTTAAATCTTCATGTATTATAATTTTTATTGTTAATTTTTGGTTCATCTTTAATTGATATTATATAATGATAATGTCTCATTAATTTACAGAAAGATAGCACACTGGATGCTGCTGAAGAAATCATCAAGGCGTGGAATAAACAGAAATCTTGATAGATGCAAAATGGTCATGGTTATCAGATGACTTAGCACGGAATTGTTACTCGGTACTACCATCTGCTGGATGGTGGAGAACAAACTATTTCAATACAGGAGACAAATAAATTAAGAATATTTGCATTATTTTTCCACAGTAGGAATGCTAACTTTTAAAAAATTATTTATTTATTTGAAAGACATGGTTACAGAGACAGAGAATGACAGACAGCAATAGATGTTTCATCTGCCTTTTGCTAAGATCAAGTGTAGATGTTTCATCTACTGGTTCACTCCCCAGATGGCTACAATGGCCAGGACTGGGCTTAGTCAGGCCAGGAGACAGAAGCTTCATCCAGATCTCATATGGGTGGCAGGGCTCAAACACTTGGACCATCTTCTGCTGCTTTGTCCAGGACATTGGAAAGGAGTTGGCTTGGTAGAGAGCCAGGACACAAACCAGCACCCATACAGGATGCCAGCATCACATACATTGGCTTTACCGGCTATGCCACCATACTGCCCCCAGAATCTTCACTCTTAACAATATTCCCATTGGATATGCATTAAAACATCTTCCACTAGAGCACCTCATGAGACTTAGCATAGTATAATGGTTAAGAACTATGAGATGATTAACCTCTCTGCTTAATATTCTCATTGTACAAGGGATATGAAAGTAGCTCCTACTTCATGTTAAGGTAAATACTAAGTGTACTAATGAATATAGGCCTGGGGAATGATAAACACTGGGCTGATGTTAGGCAATTATTCCACTGCTGTGTAAAGACTCCTAGCAGGGCCCAGTACAGTAGCCTTGCGGCTAAAATCCCCACCTTGTGTGTGCCAGGATCCAGTATGGGTGTTGGTTCTAATCCCTGTGTACCCGCTTCCTATCCTGCTCCCTGCTTGTGGCATAGAAAAGCAGTCAAGGATGGCCCAAAGCCTTGGGACCCTGAACCTGCATGGGAAACCCAGAAGAGGCTCGAGGCTCCTGGCTTCAGATTGGCTCAACTCTGGCCATTGCAGCCACTTGTCTGCTCCTCTCTGTATATCTAACTTTCCAATAAAAATAAATAAATAAATCTTGGAAAAAACTCCTCGCAGTTACACAACAAATCCTCCCTATGATTGCTTTGACTACACACCTTTAGTGGACTCTTTAGCCTTGTTTGCAGTTTTGCCCTCTGTCCCAAATATTGCCGTCATTAGCTGTCCACATGTATGGTCTAGGTTTTCTGTACCTTGACCTCCTTTCCTAGTACAGTTTACATCCGCACCATTCCAACCACCCACTCCCTGGAGTATACACTGAAGCTTTCGTCATTCAAGGTTGTTTTACCTTTGAGATAGTATTTTTGCCATTTCATATTATAACCACCTCCTTTTCCAGCTCATACAAATGTGTGCTTTTGGTCTCTTATCCATTTATCCCTCCCTCTTCACCTCTCAGCTTTTCTCAAACTACCACTTCTTTTTAAAGAATGCAGTATAATTTCAGATGCCCCAAATCTCAACAAATGGCCCATGCCTCTCTTACATCACAATCAACTGGGACCCTCAGTTGCACTCAGCGCTGTAAGTTGCATTGTATCTAGGCAAGTGCTACACTGCCAAGAGAAAAGTAGCCAGTACCTGGCAGGCATCCTGGGCCTGGTTAATGCCATATTTGTGTTAATTATACCAATGTGCCAGTAATAGTTGCCTATTCTATTTTTTTTTAAGATGTAGGGACAGATGCTGGCACGCCAAAAGGGCCTGGGGAACCATGTGTGAGTGTACATGGGCCCTGGGTAGGCAGGCAGGGCCCTAGGCTGGCACAGCACACTGTCAGGGGACTGGGCATTGGGGACTGTGGATTTCTCAGGGGAGCAGGACTGGAGATGTGTACAAGAGAGGTCTGCTGAGGGAGAACGAGACAGGTGAGGTGTGACTTCTGGGGGACCTCCACCAACATGACTACTGCACTTGTAGGTAAGTGAGAAGGCTGAGACTGGGTGGTTTAAAGGAGGGAAACTGGAGGAACTTTTCAGGCAAAACCAATACACCTGCCCATGTGGGAGACCTGAGCTGGGCTTGTTGGTATCAACCACTGCCTATTGGTGCACATAAAAGCCATAGCTGAGGGGCCTGTCTGGCAGGGCTTGACCACAGTACCTGCCAGTGAGTGTTGGCTGGGTCTGGAAACAGATTCTGTGGAGGATTGGAGGGCTCACCCCTATGGGACTGCCACACCAGTTGATTTGTTTGAGGACTGTGGTAGCAACAATCTGTGCTAGGCATGACCATTGAACTCACCAACACTCAAGGTACTGGGGCTGGGAACAGGCTGGGCTAGTCCAGGCAGTAGCACCCACAGGCACACCCAAGAATTTGGTGTGGGGTTGGCCAGGCCACAGCACCCACCAGCACACACAAAGGCCAACACTGGGGAGCAGACTGCCAAGTAAGGGCCTAGTACCTGCTGGCACTGTGAGATGTGGGACTGGTGGGAGAACTTGGGGCACAAGGTGGGCCATTGTTCCCACTGGTGAACACATGAATCAGGGCTGGGTTTTGGTCAGGTCGGGCAAGGCTGCTTCACTTGTTCACATGTGTGTGGGTTGGCTCTGTAGGGGGCAGACCAGACAGGCCAAGTTATCACACCTACCAGTTTTCACAAAGCCACGTGGGGAGTGGGGGGAAAGGCTGGGCAGGGCTAGGCTGCAGCACCCACCAGTGAGTTGGGACTGGGGACAGGCCAGACCAGTCCAGGCTGCAGCATCTGATGGCAGAGGCCAAGCTGGGTGATGGGTCATGCCTCACTGGGTTCACGCAACCACTGGCATACACAGTATCTGTGGCTGGGAGCAAGCTTGGCCGGGAAGCTAAGGGAATGCCCAGGATGGGCTGCGGTTCCCAGTGGTGAGCAGAAGAGCCAGAATAAAGGTGGCAAATTTAGTTGGACATTGCTGCAGCTTCCCTCAGCATTGCTGTGGCCTGGGTCTGGGATGTACCAAACTAGGCTAAGCAACAGCACTTGTGTGTGCTCATGAGTGTGAGAGTAGGTGTAGAATAGACTGGGCCCAAGACCCATGCAAGAGCTAGGTCTAGGTGGACCACAGGCATGGCTGGGCTGCAGCACACAACACTAAGATACGGAATGGGTGTGGACTGTTTGGGCAAGGCCACTATTCCTGCCAGGACAGGGGGTAGGCCAAGGATCTACCAGTGTGCACAAGCTCTATCACTGGGATGTGACCTGATAGAGAGCTTGGGGAACTCTTCTGTCAGGATGTAGTCCTTGCAGGTAAGTGCAAGAACCAAGGGCGGGAGCAGGCCAGACCAGGCCAGGTTACAGTACCCGCTGGCATATGTGAGAGCCAGGTCTAGGGGTGGACCCAGTTCATAGCATCCCCTGGCTGATGAGAGAACCAGGACAGAGCGCAAGACAAGCCAGGTTGGGCCACAACATCAGCCAGTTCACATTAGGGCCAGAACTGGGGGCTACTTGGGAAGGCAGGCCCAGCTGAGCTGATGTCTACACTCTTCCTTGTCCAGCGTGGTTTTCACTGTCCCATTTCAACCAAGATACTTAGGCTGCCTTGACTTATTTACCCATCATTCTGTTCTGTCTACCCTTCAAAGAAAGAGTTCAATCCTGGGATCACTGCTCCATACTTTCCCCTGGGCTGATAAGCACTGCTGAAGCCACTGGGCAAGTTCTGTAGCAACTGTGAATTTACAGCATTGATATGAGCTAATCTTCTCTGTTCCCCTATCGTTTACCACAGCAGCAATTCCCAAAATGTTTCCATTCTCTATAATAAAAAATATCCACCCTCTCCCACTAGTGTCCATGAAGGCCAAGTGTGTGATGGGCAGGATTGGGCTGGGCTGCAATATCCATTGGTTTGTGTAAAAGGCAGGGTTGGAGACAGAACTGACCCAGCAATTGCAACCACCAGCATGTGCATAAGCTGATTGGGGTGACAGACCTGTACCCTGTATTGGCAATCACACACAAGATCCCGGTCTGGGATCACCTCAGATGAAGTTTCTTTGAGTATCCCCACAACTGAATTGCTGGACTCAGAACCCCAACCATGGAGAGAAACACATGGTCTGATCGTTGGAGTGCATCCGTCAGAGCTGGGACTCCTCAGTGGCTTAGTTGGAGCAGTGGACAGCATAACCAGATACACATGGAGGATATGGCAGTACATTGGAGTCTGTGGAGGACATCTGGTACCATAACAGGACGGAAGATAGAACAAATTGATCCACTGTCCCACCCAAGTGTTGACAGTGAGTCTGCTGGGCAAACAGAGACTCTAAGGTGGCCTATGTCAATCAGTGGATTCTGGAGAGATTTCATCGTGCTTGGAATGACAAGATCAGCAGTAATTTGAAACTGTTGAACTATCGAAACCTCCTGAGTAGGACCCTCAGAGCATGCCCATATCAGGTACCCTGGGGTGGTATTGGAAGGCTGCCCTCCATCCCGGGATGCAGGGGCATTTAGCAGGCTGGTTGTGGCTTCTCTCCTTGTCTGCCCCCTTCCCCCAGATACAGGAAAGGAAAAAAAAAAAACATGGAAATCGTGATCTCACCCACCTTCCTGTAGGCCTTGACCCTAATCACCCTAATTATCTATGTAAAAATCATCAAAAATAAACACATATATACACCCTCCATTTTCCTCACACCTCAAAGCCCATTAGCACCAACATGATTAAGTCATAGCAAATGACACATCTGCTTCTCCAGAGAAACAGAATCTTCCAGACTAGCATGTTTCTGGGATTCCACAAAGAAGCCTAGAATTTACTTCTATCAGCACCCAGCCCTACCTCATTCCCTCCTGTTGTAAAGCCTATCCCTTGACTTGTCCAACACAAACAAGTTTGGAGTGGTTTCAGATGAGGGTGAGTTATTGGTTAGATTATTAGCTTCAGTTATATCGAAGGAGGCTCATGACCCCAAGAGCCAGGTGTTTCATACCACTACCATCCCTACCATCCTATGAGGGTTTTGGTTTAGGTTTTTGTTGCTGTTGTTTTTGGTCTTTACAGGCTTCTATGATTTGGTCCAGTAGAACAAGACTAGTCTGTGGTGAATTCCACATCTGAATGATCCAAAAGAACTGTGATCTTTTCTATTGAGAAAAGAATTAGATAATACATATGAGTTCT